ATGATAGCTTGATGACTAAGTTTAATGACTAAGAGATGCTCATTGTGCCCCCTGTTGGAAGTTTTCTCACTCTAAGAATATGACAAGTAGGCCGATAGAATCTGCATTTGGATACTTTCAGACTACTTCTTGATTCAGGACAGGAGTGTTAAGGTAGTGCTTATGAAAACTGAAAAGTATACTCTTGTCCATTCAGAGTGAATACGAATGGTATCTTGCCCTCCTTTTCTGAAGAGGTGGAAGAGAATACCCTGGCTAGATCACTTACTACATACCATGGATGGCAAGCATTGTTAACTGGTTCTAGTAGAAATAGCCTATCTAGCAAAGCAACTGCACCTGGGGTTTCCTTTTAATTGAGTTACGGTAAGCCATAAACCCAGGATCCATCTGGGTTTTCTAGAGAACTGTTTGGAAAATTAAATGAAAACATAATGCAAGTCACTAATCTTGAATCTATTATGTCTTTAATAGTGGCAATAATTTGCTTACTCTCCCCTGGTTTCAATAGCAATTAATCCATGACCACTGTGAGGGGCAAGTTCCAGTGACTTTGACTTTTTGCTTTTCCCACCATGATAGCTCTTAGCCTGTGGCCAAAGAACAAATGTGGGGTATTTTCAAAACCTAATTATGTCTATTTCAATTGTTCATTCAGAAACCAAGTGAGTCTGCAAATCCAGTGGTCCCAGTGAGTCCACCATGAGCCACACCTGGGACTTGACTCCATTTAATAAGTACCGCCCTCTCCCAAGCAGGAGAGTGTTGCTGCTTTGGGCCTCCCAGGTATCTAGGTCAGCTTGGACCTTGTGTCTAGCAAATCTTGAAGTATGTTTTTCTTTCTCCCTTACTTCACTGTACAATTACCCAAGTAAATGGCAAGGTCCGATTGGGATGAACTGGGAGAATCATTACTGTGTACTTTCTGTGGTGTGGCAGGTTTCTTCCTTCTGAGGCAAAAGTCTAGCCTGCAAGCAGCAATTTCAAGGTCTGCAAAACTGGCTCAGCATAGGAATCTGGAAAAGGGATTGAAACATTTTATTTGGGTGACTTCCCTCAGCCTCCTCATCTTCCATCCTTTATTTTGGTTGTATACATTGTGCCTTTGTTGGCTGCACATATGTCTTACTGTACCTAGACATGCTGTATTCTGTTAACCACCTCTATAGCTCTCCGCAGGTTCTCTCTCCTGGCTGCCACTCTGATGTTGCTGCTCATTATAATAATTGCCCCAACTGGTGTCTGACAGTTCAGCACTGCCACCTGGTCTCTATTAATTAGGGATCCTATGAGTCCCATTGTTATCAGTGAGCCCAGTTATTAAGAGCATCTCTTACCCTCATCCCTGGCTGATAGAAGACAGCCACCACCGAGCTTCTCAGTAATGCCCATGCCCTTCTCACCAGCATATGCCTTTTTCCTTTGGTAAATGAAATTTCCTCTCATGGATCATAGTGGTCTGGTAGGTTTTCTGACCTAGTTAGTGTAACCACTCTAGCATGCCCACTTCTATGAGCCCTTTGATCCCTCTACATCTGTAAGATAAAGTAGTTCTGGCACTTCAACCTCACAGAGTGCAGTCCATTACTTTCTCTAAGCGTCTAGGAGTCATCCTAGTACCTTGTTTGCTCCACATCCCAGAGACCTTGCATAGGTTTTAAATCGTGTAACCTGTAGAGTGTTCTCACATCAATAAACTCTCTTTTATCCAGCATCCTCAGAATCCAGTCCCATGTATACTCTCCTGGATGCTGCCACTATACACTGGCTAGTTTTTCCTTCAGGTTACAATCCCTTTGCTACTTCAGCACTTCCCTTGATGGATTAGGTTATGACTTAACCCAGTTATTGGCTTACTGTTTGGGACATGGGGGATGGAGAGTGGTGGCATATCCTAAAGGGAGCACAACTGGTCTCACAAGGAAGACATCTCAAGCAAAGGTAGGCTAGCCTATTAATTAGCAAATAGGAGTGTATCACTGTGACAGTCTCAAAGAGTTCAAGAGAATCTGGAGATTTAAAGTTTGGAAGTGCTTCAATCCAGATATCCGCATCCCAGTTTTCAAAGTTCTACTCTTTCCAAATCAGGGACCTAATCTTGGCATGGCAGATCCTGGAGTTGAGGATTCCACTTTTTAAAGAGTGTGCTGCTCTTTAATTAGGTGTTGAATCTCTAGCTTTTGCTCTCCTCTGGCCACAGGAGACCCTTTTTATATTAGTTGTTAAAAACACTCACATTTTTCTTGCCATTCTCCAAGTATCATTGGCCTGAAGAAATAGCCATCTAATTCCAAATTTCTTAAAATTACTATTATCCCTGAAAAATTCAAACTCCTAGGACAGCTTACCTGCCAGTGAATTGCTCTTAATGCCTATCTGTTCCCAGTTCCACATCAATGAAAATTTTAATAATTTCACTGCAACCAAATATCTGGACCTAACAATGTTCCATCTACCTCCATTGAAGGAGTTTTTATTGGCAGCTGACCAAATAAAATCATGAACCTACAGACATCCCATTTTAGATTCTGCTTTCTAGGATCAGTTCTAGTACAAAAGTCATAGGTCAATTTCCAAAGAACTCTGATACCAAGAAAAGGTGTGTACACAAGGAGTATTGGATAGAGATCTCAGAAACAATTGTGAGGTATGAGAGGAGAAGAACTGGTCAGAAGCAGAAGCTGAACTGTGATGCAGTTGCAACAGAAGATTCAGCTGATCCTACAGGAAGTTCTAGAGTTTGGCTGGCCCATTATAGTTATTGCAACGTTAGGCATGGGGGACAGATAATCAAGTCTCTTGCAAAGGCTAATCATTGTATGCAGGCTGCCCCATAGGAGGGACATAACCTTCAGTGAGGCTGCTCTCTTAGTTCAGGGCAATTATTGGAGGGGAACTCAGTTTAGCTTTATAAGTCACCACCAGCAATAGGGGAATGAGTGACTCTCCCAGGGGAGCAAAGGAAAAATCTAGGCAGTGCAGCACATTTTAACTGAAATGTTGATAAAATCTATAGGGAAAAAATAATTATGTGTGGAAGATCACAATGCCTGAACTGGGGTGAGAAGAGGTGAAGTAGTGGGTTGGACTTTCAATAAAGAGTGGGAAAATGTAGGTCTTATTGAAAAACAACATTTGAGAAAAGACTTGAAGTTAGCCATGCTGAAACCTGAAGGAAAGAAATATGCTCCTGGAACAGGGAATAACCAATGTTAATCTCAAAAAATGAACCTGTTAAGTGTGTTGGAAAATTTGAAGATGGAAAAACCCTAAAATCACAAGCTGCAGAATTATGGTCACCATATAATAGTATTGCTACATATATGTAAAGAATATGTACAGAATCATGTACCCAACAAGAGAGAGAGAGAGTGTGTGAATATAAAAAGGCTTTCAAATCTACCTGTAACTTTTGTTTCACTTACTTTTCAAAATTCTGAAGAAATGGAAAAAAATTGATGTTTTAAAATATATGTAAAGATTATATGATATTAATTATATTATTCCCTATTATTTTTAATATACCTGTTATATTTCATAACAAAAAGGAGAAAAATCAATAGGGGTGCCAGAAACAGACATGAGCAGTATATATTATTAGATAAGTGAAATAAAATATCCTGACTGACCAAGAATTATTTATATATAGACAGTGCTGAGCATAGTGATAATTTGTGTAACTAAACTTCATCTTTTTATCATCAATTTTGGCCCTACTCTACCCTGTTCTTCTGACCTACCAGCCACATCCTGGCTTATATATATTTTCAAATACATTCTTTGTAAGATTTTTTAAAAGATAATATCAGATTATTATGGAACATAATTCATTTTATATTTATAAAACTTCAAAATATTTAAAAAAGTTGTGAAGATTAAATAGGGTATATTTTAAATGCCAAAATTACCACAGAATAAATTTAAGATTTTGAACCCAAAGCCTATAGCTAACATATTATGAACAAAGGGAATTTTGATTCATCTCCTCGAAGTTCAGAAGTTCAGAACCAGAAAAGCATACCAAATGTCAACAGAGTTTAAAACACTGGAGAATCTCAGCTACACTTGAGGGAGTTATTTAATCTTATTTTCCTTATCTGGAAAATGGGGGTTGTTAAGTAAGGTATGCATCAAGTAAGGCTATTGTGAACATGAAGAGATGGGTACAGATGGAATCTTTGCCCAAGAGCTCACTAAGCATTTGCTGTTACTGTTAGCAGCAGATCAACATATACTAATTCTCTCATCTTCATGAAGTTTGACCACACTCATAATGCCTATCATCTACTCTGCATGAATCCAAGAACACATTTCTTAGCATTCTGCTCCTGAGCAGCTGAAAATCCACTGCAAAGGTATGCATTCATTTCTTTCATATTGAACTATCAATATTGCTTTCAACCAGCTTACCCTTCTTTTGTTTACTTAATTGAATTCAAGCCAACACATACTCATTGAGCATTTAATATGCTACATATATTATATTAAGTCCTAGACTTCCCTCCTTGCTTTCCAAAGCTAATGTTTCAGATATTTACCACTGATTTTATGCATTGAATTTGCCCTTACATTTACCAGATACTCCTCACCTCTTGCTTCAATGAAACAATACAGGTAATCATAGGTAATCAGAATTCAATTCTGTTTTTCATCACTGCACCTCAAAATTTGCCTTTTTATTCCCTCATTTTCTCGTTGCTTCTTTAGCTTCCATTTTTGTTCCCTTTTTAGAGATAGAGGAGAGAGAGAGATTTGTTATAAGAAATTGTCTCTTGCGATCATGGAGGCTGAGAAATCCTGTGATCTGCCATCTGCAAGCTGGAGGCCCAGGAAAGCTGGTGGTATAGTTCCAGTCCAGGCCCCAAAGTCTCAGAACTAGGGAAGCCAATGGTATAACTCCCAGTCCAAGTCCAGAAAACCAAGTAACAGAAGCATAGATGTCTGAGGGCAGGAGAAAGTGTATGTCCCAGGTCCCAGTTCAAGAAGAGAGAGAATTCTACCTTCTGCCGCTTTTTGTTCAATTCAGCAGTGGATTGGATGATGCCTTCTTGCACTGGTGAGGGCAATCTTTACTCAGCTTACTGATTCAAATGCGAATCTCTTCCAGAAACACCCTCAAAGACACACCCAGATGTAATGTTTTACCAGCTATCTATTAGCTTAGTCATTCTGACACATAAAATTAACCATCACATAGATAAAGAGTAACAAGAATGACCCCAAGATTTCTGATCTGAGCAACTAGAATGATGGAGTTGCCATTACCTAAGAGTGCATTTTAGGGTAGTTAAGGGAGAGAGGTGTTTAATTGTAGATAATTTAAGCGGAATTTTAAAGTAGTTAGATATAAAAGTCCTGACTGGAGATTTACATTTTGGAGTGTCTAGGGCACAGATGAAGTTTAAAGCCATGAGACTGGATAAGATCAGAAAGATAGTGAGTGTAAACAGATAAGAAAAAGTAGTCTAAAGTCTAAACCCTGGGTCACTTCAGTGTTAGGAGGGTAGCAGGGTAGGAGATAAATCAGGGGGCTGGTTTTCTAAAAGCCCTGGAAAGAGAACATCAAATGTTGCTGATGGGTAAAATAAGAGGAAGACTGAAGTTGATCTTTGAATTTAACAAGGTACAGTCACTGGAAACCTTGAAAAGAGATGGACTAATGTGAGTTTAATAGATAAAGGAAAAAAGCAAATTATGACATTGGTATATACCATTCTTTTAAAAAAATTAACTAAGGAGTGAATGGGTGATTGGTAGAGGGAGAAAGTATGGTTTAAATTGTTTAAAAATGTATTCCAATGGTAATACTACAGTTGAGAGGAATAGTTTGATGATGACAAACAGGGGAGAATTGCTGGAGTGAGACTCTATGTGTGGTCCAGTGAGAATGGGAGAGTGTGTCTTTGAAGAGAAACATGCAGAATGTATTCCAGTGGGAGGAAAGGAAGAATGTCTATATACAGATATTAGAAGGTAAGTAGACATGACAGCAGGAGGTCATGGAAACTGCTATTCTAGTAGTTTCTATGAACTCAGTGAAGGAGAAACTTGCATAAAGAACAGGGAGATGGTGTTAGAGGTTTGAGAAAAGAAGATATAAAACAGAAAGGAAAAGGAAGAGTAAATGTAATATAATTGCTCTGCAACATTAAAGGCCCACTTGAGTAACTACCATGAAGCTAACATGAGACTTAGATTTGTAAATATTTTTCCAGCCATATGTAGCTATTCAGGGAAGGGAATGGAGCAGGCATTCCTTTACTGTGTTTACTTTGGTTAAACACAGCTTACAAATCCCAAAGTAAGGGTTTAGCCAAGAGATAGCTAAATAAATTGAGGTTTAGGAAAGAGAGTGTTCAAAATGATTGATCATGGAAAATTTAGAGTGTTTGAAAGGGAGTGTTTATAATGATTGACCAAGCTGAGTATGTAGGGAAACAGAGGCATGGGAAGATGACGGTAACAGTGGCAGGATCAATGGATTGTAGGTTCAGTGGGAGAGACCACTGAAGGATATTTGAGAGCCAATGATTTGAGGAAGTGATCTAGAAATACAGGAAGCGATGAGTAGACAGTGGTTCCAGAGTGTGACCACAGAGTTTAGTGACAGAAGGGAGGTGGGAGAAAAAAATAATCGAAGGAAGGTGATCAAGGAGGCAAGAGGACTCGAAGAATTGTATGGCTAAATACTGAAAATACTCAGAATCAAGGAAAGAGTTGTGGTGGTGTGAACCAAGAGTTACAGCTAAAGTTTTCATGGATTGAAGAAAGCCCTTCAGTCCTTTAGATGATTTAAACAAGAAACAGAAGTAGGGAGCGTAGTCTTATGACATTACTGTTACAGCAGTGGAGAACAGAGTTTGAATAGCATGGAACAGTCTGGAAATGACAATGACGAGCAAGAAGGAACCTTCCCCAGGATCACAATTTGACAGCACTAACAGGCCATGCAAGTGCTTCCCAAAGAACCACATTTCAACAAGAGCAAGATGAAGGGGATTTTCAGAGAAGCTATTGAGAACACAGGGGGCTTTGCTGATGGCAGACACTCAGTCTCAAAAACCAACAATGTCAGGAGATGGCTACTAGAAGGTGGATATACAGAGCTATGTATAGAAACTGGAATGTGAAAAATCAACAATGCTCTGGGAAGCCAGGGTTTATGGCTGTGACTGATACAACAGTAATAAAGTATATAAAGAGATGAGTCCTAATGGTCCTTGGCCAGTAGTGGAGGAGGTAAGTGTTGGGGAGTATGCAAAGGTTAGAATTTATGGGATTCTATTCTCCCATAAATCATCTTGATGGCAGTATGAAGACCAGAAAAGGAATGATCTTGACTGCACATTTATCCATGTAAACACTAGGTCTTTGAAACTGTTTACTGACAAGTTTTTCTTATTGCCACATTTATTGGTTTCAATCTGGGGCAAGCTCAAATATGTAGCAAAAGCCTCTAGTTTTTCAGTTTTTCCATGTAAAATAAATAATAATTTCCCATAAAATAAATCATGAAATAACCATAGTTTTGGCACACAAATGAGCAGAAGCCAATTTTGGCATTGTACTCCAAGCAGCAGTAGAAATAGGAGTTTCCCATCTCTTCCCAAACCAACTAGTGGTTAAAAACTGCTCTGAGCACAACTCTAGAATTGCCCCTAGAAACTTCTTTCAAGCCTTTGTAGACCTTTCAGCATCAATGGTTCACTCACTTTAGGAATATCCTTTCTTTCGGGAATCTTTTTTTTGGTTAACATCTCCCTTCCAGATGACTTTTTGTGAATCACCCTTCTTGTCCTCTGAAGTTCGTCTTTCCTTCAAACAAACTGTAGGTTTTCCTCAAATTGTCTGCATTGTCTCCTTCCTCTTCCATCCTCTTGCTGGGATCTTTATCTAAAATGCTGCTAAGGGACAAAATGTCTCACGTCCTTTAAATCATCTTCTCCAATGTAAGTCAGAAGGATACTTTAAAACAAAAATAAACAAAAACACACAAGGGAGTACAGATATATTGAAATAAACAACATATATTGGCCTCTTTTTACTCCTAAGCAAGTCTTTTTCCTCAGCATAACCTTAAAGGCTGTATGCAATTTAACAGTATTCTTCTTTCTGGGTCTCATTTCCCATCACTTGTCTCTTCTTGATGTCTCATTACTGCAGCCACAATCAACAACATACCATTTCTGGGCTCTGCTATGCACTTGTGTTTCCCCAGCTTTTGCTTACACCCTGTCCTTTATGCCAAATATTATTTCTCCCCTTCTCCAGTTGTTAGTCATTCCACTTCAAAGACTTCTCTTGTGAGGTTTTCCTCTGGAGCATCCCAGACCTCCAAATTATCCAGGCTTTCCTCATTGCTTTTATTACACTATATTGATACTTACAATACAGAGATTTTTAGGGTCTGGTTTTTATTACACTCTACTTACTTAAATTCTTCTTTTTATAGAAGAGGTGAGATAATTATAATATTAGACCTGTCTTTGTGTGTTTCCTGTCTGAGTACCCTCTATTAAATTGTTAGTTTTTCAAGGAAGTTTCTCATTCCTTCAGTACTTGCCATTATGCCATGCACATAACGTGTTCAAAAAATACTTATTCAATTAAAATGTGATAGAGAATAATCTAGGCTGGAAAGAAAGAGTAAATGGCTATTAGTTGAATTAAGACATGGCAGTAGAATATAAGTTCCATAAGGATAGGGATTTTAACATGTTTTGTCTTTTAAGAATGCTATAAAAATATATTGAATAAAAAAGATTAATTTAGGAGATTTCATACTTAATATTTAACACTTAATCTTGAGCAACATACAGGTATTACATGAATAGTGGGGTTGGCTACCTCCCAATTAAAATGCACTTTTGAATAAAATGGCGGCTATTTTTCTCACAGTCAACGTTTAAAAAAATCAGAACAGACATAAAGGAGAAAAATGTTTTCCCAAGTATAATACTAGAAAAAATAGCCATTCTTTCTGTTACAGAACTTTAAATTTTAAAGAATGCCTATGTTCCTTAATTCTATTCAATTTTTAAAATCAATCACTCTCGTGCTGAATATTTTTAAATGAATATGACACTTTGCATGGATCCCATAAATAAACAAAACGTGCACAGCTTTGTTTATGTTAGGAACCTTCTGCTAAGTGTTGCTTCTATTTATTTACTTTTAAATTATGCCAGATTTTTGCAAATTTGAGTCAGTTTGGGGATCAACTTGAAATTTTAAGGACTGGCTATTTACTTTGCTTCTGATTACTTGCAAATATGTTAAGGTAATAGTTTTAACGGCCAGTAGAAGGTATAAGAGGAAAATATTCAAGATATACTTAATTATGGAAATAGATGTACCTTGCCATTTTTAAATTGTTTCTCTTAATTTCTTTTAACTTCCTCATTCTCTTTGCTTTCTCCTCACATCCTATAGCCCTATACCTTATAGATCAAGTTCAGATACTCCCTGATTTATGTAACACAGTATAAAATGTCTGCAATGATGAACATGAGATAAGTTTCAATAAAGATAGGTCAGTAAATCAAAACTTTGCTGGGAAAGCCATGCTGCTAAAAATAAATCCTGCTTATAGGCATTCATAGCTGAAATTATAATTCACTAATTAACCCATAATAAAGAGCTGGCATCCATAAACTGACTTTCTCTTGTTATATGTAATCTGACATGCTTCATGTGATTTAGGGATGGTTAGTTTTTCTAAGACAATAGAAATCAAGTGATAATAGACTTATATAAGACAACAGACACTGATACTGGTCTCAACAACAACCATCCAATTCCCTATCTTCTTCTTCCTTCTTAACCAAATCATGGCTATGTTCAGAAATTTCCTATCCTTCACACTGTCACGTGTTTCAGAATGATTCCACCTCTAGTTCCAGGGCTGGTAGATACTTATTAGGAATAAGACAATCTCATTCTGTTTGAAAATGGTTGGTTTATGTGTCGTCACATAACCCAATTTTGGGTAATTGGATCTTAGCAGAAGTCAGTGGTGGTGCTTCTAGGAAAGTTCCTCTCTCTAAACACACAAACACATAAAAAAAAAAAAAAAAAAAGAAAGTCCTTTTCTTTTCCTGAATGCTTTTTAATGCGTGGAATATGA